ATTTTCTTGTTGTACATGAGACTCAGCTTGCAATATATGAAACAACAAAGCTAGAATGTGTGAAGCAGGTAGCTGTATATTGTTGTTTGATTGTTGTGAAATGATATCATGTTGCTTTGATGTTCTAATTTTTCTTCTTTGTTTTAGTGGGTCCCACGTGATTCTTCTGCCCCAATAACTCATGCAACATTCTCATGTGATAGCCAACTGGTATATGCCAGCTTTCTAGATGCAACTGTCTGTGTATTTAGTGCTGCGAACCTCAGACTACGTTGTCGTATAAATCCTTCTGCTTATCTTCCTGCTAGTGTCAGGTATTTGCCCTCCTCTGCTTGACTCAGGCATTTGGGTTTGGTATGGTTAGATGGTCTTAAAGCTTGATTCAAGCACAAATTTTGGGTACAAAGTATTCAATGACACGCACACTTTGATGCACTGGATTGCATTTTGTGGTTTTAAATTACAAAAAACTTAATACTGTTGGAAGAGGAGTATGATTACATTTTGCCTTACAAACTCTAGTCTAGACTTGGATTGCCTTTAGCTTTTTTTGTTCTCTTTCTCTCTCTCTAGTATCATCAATGCAGTTTAGTGTTTCAAGCTTGTGTTATTAGACTAGGCTATATGAGGTATTTTGTTTGCAAGTGGCAAATAATAAGTCAATCCCAACTGTAATTCATGTGCAACTTTTATTTGCCTCTCAGTTTTACGAGTTCTCATTTGAATTTAGAATGCTATCTACACTGCTCATTTGTGATAATCGTTCTTATTTAAAAATGGTGTTTTCCTCTATGTCGCAGTTCCAATGTTCACCCACTTGTAATTGCTGCACATCCATCAGAGCCAAATGAATTTGCATTGGGACTCTCAGATGGCGGGGTTCATGTCTTTGAGCCACTTGAATCTGAAAACAAATGGGGCGTGCCTCCACCGGTTGAAAATGGGTCAGCCAGCAGTGTGGCAGCAACACCTTCAGTTGGAGCTCCGGGACCAGAACAAGCCCAGAGATGATGAAATGGCTGCCCGAGCACAAGTTCTTTTATATGCTTGGCTTGCATGTCCACCCCTAATTTAGGTATGCTTTTCCAGTATCTAATTTGTTAAGAACAGTATTGATGAAAGAGAGACATCCCAAACTAGTTGATCCAACACCTGGGTTGTTCACCATTTCCGAATTAGAACTGAATTTGGGTCATTGTAACAGTTGGTGGTGCTTATTGAAGAAGCAGGACAAAACCCTTTTGGTTTGTCTGGTTGCTTAACTAAAAGGTAACAGCGCCCAATTGATAATGACCGTTACAAATCTCTTTGAAGTTGTATTGTAATTCATTTTGTCTAACAATTATGAATTTGGGAATTGTACTAAGTTTAACCTCCCACCTCCTAGAAGGTTAATATAAAATTTAATTTGGCAGTTGCTTTCTTGCTGCTCTCTCGTTACTTATCCAATCTTTTTCCTTGTAAAATTTTGCAGCTTGACAATCAAGATATGTGATCTGAGAACAATATGCAAAGATGTAGATTTAACATATTTTGTCAGATACAATCTAAGGTATATGTTATGGTAGTATTTGATAGTTTCAGGTGTTTTCTTATGCCCTGTTGGAGGGTGAAGAAATTCTTAGAAGGAATGATTTTCTCTCCTGTTGTAGTTGGTTGTCTTCCATATTCTCCCCCATCCCCTTCCCTTTTCCATAAATGGCAACGTTCTTTTTATGTATCACATTTACAATTTTCACAAACCAGTGTTCTCTCTTTGTTGTCATCTACTTGGGCTGATGACCTTTTATTGTCCAAGGATTCGACAACATAGTCCTTTGCCAGTTTGTTTTTGGGATGCTTCATTTCAGACTCAGTTGTAGTACATGAACAAGAGAGACGGTATCACTGCAGAACAAGTGTTGTAGCATGCCATGACTGCATACGATCATGAAACTCCGGTCACGAGCTAAATATAAGTAAAGTAAAATATATATATAATATAAAACAGAAAAATCTGTGAGTTGGGACTAAACCTGTTAAAATGGGCCTGGTCCATCGGATCAGTTCATTTTTTTAAAAATATGGGACGGGTAGGGTTTAAAAAATTTAAATTCATATTAAAATCGAGTTTAAACGGGTTAGCCCGTTTAGGCTTGAGGGCTGACCCGGTTGGTGCGGGCTAGCCCGGCGGGTCAAAAAAAATTAAACTAATTCCTAAGTTCTACTCGGTTACCCAACTCCCTAAGTCCCGACTCCCCAACTCTCCTTCTTCTTTCTGGCTTTCTTCGTTCTTTCACGGTGAGTCGTCGTCGGACCGGCGTTCTTTCCCACTCCCCATCTGACATCCGACCATCCCGATTAGCAGATCAGCACTCCCCATCGTCGCCATCACCCATCGACATCGTAAATCAATTTGTCGCAGCTGCAGGTCCTGCACCTTCTCCGATCTGTTTCGCCTCAGATCGCACCACCGCAGCCGCACCTTCTCCGTTCTAGTTTACCGTAGATCGCACCACCACACCCGCAGATTGCACTCGCACTTTCTCCATTTTGTTTTACCGCAAATTTCACCGCTGCACCAACACCTTTTTCGTTCTGGTTTGCCGCAGATAGCACCGCCGCACCTCGGTACCCGCACCTTCACTCCGTTCTGGTTTGTCGCAGATAGCAGTCGATCACCACTCCAGGCCTCAGGCACTCCCCAATCCCCATCAACTGCCTACCCGACCCACCTCTTTTGATCTGCTTCCTCCGGCAGCCCAGGTAAACTCCGATCTGCTTTTCTTTTTTTTCTTAGTTGTTTCAACTTTTGTGGTGTGTTGCTGACTTGCTGGACATATGGAAGTTTTATGGTAAAGAATATATCGACATTTGTAACAGACTAACAGTTATTTCATTGAATTAAGATGTTTTGTGCAAGAGTTCTGAATTTTGTTATTGTTGTTGCCTGAAATCATGCTTGATGTAGAACTCAAGTTTTGTGCAATAATCAATAAATATTGTTGTTTGTTTGTTGGTGGTAAATTTTTAATAAATTATGTTTATATTATTTGAAGTGACGATGATGGATCAATCAGTTGAAAATTGTATAATTTGGATGATGATGTGAACATTTTGAATAAAGATGAAATCCCTCCCATCCCATGTATCCGAGTCTGAACAATTGAGTAAGAGGGTAAAAAAGAAACTTCAAATGTTTGGAATTATTTCACTAAAATAGGCAAAAAGTAAGATGGAGTAGAAAAGGCAGCTTATAATGGTTGTAAAACGGAGTATAAGGTTGGCCCTAA